TTCGGCACTCGAGGCCTGACGTGACCTTCCTTTCACGGCCAGAACTTTGGCATAGCATGGCTTCTTATGAAAGAGCAAGAACAGGGAAAGTTTCAAAGGGCGGGGCTGGGCACAGAGACGCTGCGTGGGACAGAAGTGGAGGGATAGACTTTTTTGTGAAGGAGCAAGCCCCTTTCATGCAGAAAGTGATTTGACCTGTTCCGAGACCTTCTTTGCAGGCTCTGCATCATCCCTGGATCGGGCGGACGCCTCCTGTACCGAGCAGGCTCGTAGTTTTGCACTCGCGGCGCAGCTGCGAAGATCCGAGCCACATCTTTGCCTTGTTGGGAGGGTTAATTGTTCTGGTGACACCTTAGGGAGAGTGATTTTGGTGGCAGATTTGATGCGCTTTCTAGGATGACTAGTCGAGTTGGGGGCTCAAGGTCTGCTTGTCAGGAAGCGGAGAAACATTGGGGTGTGGATACTTGAAGGTTTCGTGTTCACAGGCCAGCGACATCTGCTACGCCGCGCGGAGGCTCCCCGCCTTACGCCTCCGAAGAACAAAGCCATTGGCATTTCCTGGGCTTTGCTGTTACTTTTTGCTTTCTACAGTTCCGTGGGTGAAAAAGGCACTAGTGGTGGTTGTGAGGGCAGGGCTTGGCCCAACCACAACCAAGATTCTTATCAGAGGGACCGTAATCATCCACAGAGGGATTTTAGACCCCCGTGTTGCAAGTGAAAGCTCGCGCCATCCCTTTCTTGTAGATTGCTTGGGCAATTTGCAGCAGCCGGCACAAGCCTTTTGTGGGGCTTTGTGGAAGGGGTGCCAACGGGACGTGCCAGCGGTGAGGACATGTTTTTCTTTTTTTCATCTTCATCTGAATGTGTTGCAGCCGGGTCTGACGCTTTCCGTTCGCTGAGCGCGGTGAGGCGCGCGAAGGGCAATGACGATGACGGTGAAATCGAACAAGCTGGCTGCCTCGCCCCCAGTTGCCTAGCCCGCTGTCGGTGTGAGGATTCGTCGCACGGGTTGAAGGTTGAAGGCAGCGTATGCCGTCAACTAGGCAGCAACTAGAGACACTTTTTGCTTGTGGGTGACTCTGCAAAAAACACAAACATATGCAGACGATCCTGTTTGGGAGCCCCTGAAAAAGAAGTCCTTCAGAGGTGTGGCCTCATTGCATGTGCAAACGTGCAAGCTTTTCGAGCGCATCGACAAAAGCAGGGCAGGCGCAACACCAAATGAAAGAGGTCACGCTCGACCTCTTTTTGAATCACGTCAAAGCAGTCAGGACTGGTGTTGACAGATTGGGCCTCGCAAGAGGCTAACGACTGAGGACCACGCCGGAAAACACACACTGTGAACAGCTCCCCGCAAGGAGTAAAAGAAGCTAAGGTCCTCAGGCCCCCTGCTGATTTACAGAGCTTTTCGTCGGCTGTGGCGCGCACGCACAGACACAGAGGCACTCATATGCGACTGCGCACACTGCGCCTCGACGCAGAACATACAGACACAAAGGCTCCTGGTCCCACCAGGAGCTAAACATCATGACAACTCCAAGCGCTTTCTTTGTGTGTTTGGCCTAGATGGCGCTGAGGTATCTGAGCTGGGCCTGGCTCCAAAGAAACCGTCGGCCCAGACCCTGACCAATTCCGCCACGCGCGCGGGGCCGAGTTTGGAGTTGGCTCTCGGTTGGACGTGGGGAGTGACGAGGGGCTGGTGCCGGAGTGGCCTGGTTGAAGCCAGTTTTCGAAGCAGCGGACATTGACGCAAGACGAGGTGGAATCAGTTGGAGTGTCTTTTGGTCGATTTAGTGTTCTGATTGAGGGTCGCGGGATGGGCGGATGATGAGTGTTTGTCAGATGTTCAGGTAGAAGTTGGACATAGGGTTATCTCAAAATAGGTGACCCCCCAAAACGGGTGGTTTCCCTTTTGGTTTCTTTTAAAACCATCCACATCGGTTGGAGGCCTGCCTTACAGGCCCAGCGGTAGAGTCGAGATTGGAGGGCAGAAATCTGGCCTTGAGGTGGCTCCTCCTGTGAAATGGAGGAGAGCCCCCCGCGGGCAATGCCGGGGGCCGAAGGGGCAGACGCCGGCGGTCGTCAAAGACCAATCCAAGAATTCAGATCCTCACGCGCAATTTGTTGTGTTTCCCCCAGTGAGGCTGCAGAACATCGAAAGAAACAACAGGCCATTTGTTTTTGGCCGCACGCAAAAGTGTTTTTTTTTGATGTAGCCCGTCACTTTGCGCCGGAAGTATTGTCACGCACCCTAACACTCCAGGGCACGGTTGCTGTCTCGCGCCGATGTTATTGGCACGACAGACTTGAGGCAGGCCATGGTTCATTTGGGAGGGACATGAGGGACGAGCTCCAATCTTTCCACAAAGAGGGGCTCACGAATTTCCCCCGGTTTTTTCGGGGAACCAACCCATGTTCACCGTGGCTCAGTTGCACCCCGCGGTTTTTGGGACAGAAGGCGACCCCGGCACGTCCTTCGCTGCTGACCCGAGCCATTCTTTTCGCGCACTGGGATCGCAAAGATTTGCGATCCCAAGCCTGGAGCTGGGCATCCCGTTCGTTCGAAATGTCCGCGTCCGTTGCGTCCTTTCCGGGTTGCCTTTCCTTTACGTATTTGGGCGTGTTTGTTCGTCTGACGCGTGAATCGCCTTCTGTTCAAGACCGGCCGTTGCGTTCTGTTCAAGACCGGCCTTGTTACCGAAGAAACATGTGCCATCTGGAAGCTTGAAAACTCATCAAATAATGGGGGAAAAGGCAAATCCACGGGTTTAAGGGAACCTCCCCAGCCGGTGAAGGTTAAAAAGGGGCGGACCCGGAGCGCGCCTTTTGGTAGCGGACTTTCAGGTCCCGAAGCTCTAAGAAGGCCCACACCCGCCAGAGCCCCAGCGGTTTCTCCAGCTTAGCCAGTTGGGTTTGTCGCAAGGCGAAACAATAGCTCTGGATGGACGGAATCCTGCGAAGAAATGCTGGAATGATGATACCCCTGTAAATACCGAAACAAGGAAACAACCGTGGTTTGAAAGTGGTGCATCCACACTAGCTCTGGATAAGACAAATGTGCCAATATAGGGTGACCCAACACGGCTTCGGTTGTGCTTTGGGCTTCCCTTGGAGGGTGCGCTTAAGAAGTGATTGAAGAACACGGAAACTCGACATACCTTGTTTTCTTTGGTGACCAACCTTGTAAGACTGATGAATGCAACGTTTTAGCTTTAATTTCAATTCATGGGGTTGGGATATTGGTGGCTTCAGGCAACATGGGGGACCGCGTGAAGGGTGGATGAGACCTGGCTTAGGACCGACTGTGAGGAAAAGCTCAAGCGTGCCAAAGTGTGATATATGGGTGTGTTTGTTGGTACTGAAACTGGTGGTTTTGCTTTGGTTTCCCTTTAGACAAATCCAAAAAGGGCACCCTCAAAAAAGCACCCTCAAAAAAAACAGACCCTCTTTGGCAGGAGATGGCATTCTGAGCGCTGTCATCGTTTCTGCTTTCCCCGGGTTTGGATTGTACAGCCTCTCGTTTTTTTCGGAGTGCCGCATCGGGATCCATTGGATCCACCTTGTCGCTCCCTGGCAAAAGCCGGAATTCTTTTGTCTCGGATGTCAAACCAGATGGGTATGGGTCCAAATTAAGCCACTAGGGGACCGCAGGTTTTAGTCCTTCAATCCATTTACCAGGGTTCCATTTTGGGGTCACCCTGTTTTTGACCCACAGCCAGACGGCACCAGCTGCGGAAAGGAAGCGGACCCAGCCGTCTGAAACAGGCATCGCATTCTTCCTACGCGAACAGCCTCGCTTCTGCACGCTGTGCTGAAGCTAGAAGGGAATCTGCTGGTGTCTGGCGACCCTCTTGAACCTGGCGTTGTGGTTTGCCCCAATCTGCCAAAAGGCAAGGGGAATGACATCCCAGATCGACGGCGGACATCCACCCACTTTTTCCGCCTCGCGGAGGGTATTTTCAACCGCTTGTCCATGTACACGATAATGGAATTTTATGTTTGCCCTGAAGTGTGACGGGCTTGTGGCAGTTCACAGCCACAGACAGGCATGGTTCGTGGGCTGACCCGCGGGTACATGCTTGCCCGCGTTCAGGTTCAAAAAGGGCGCGATCGCAAGCATAATTCAAATTATTGCGTTCCTTCTTCATTTGCTTTCTCTTCTATTCCCGAGACTTTCGATGCCTTTGGCTCCAGTGGGGGACGGGAAGCCAGAAGCTGCTCCGCGGATGAGTGGAGCATTTTGAGGCGTGCAGGGGTGGTGTTTTTGGGTCGGGCGTCAACTTTTGCAACGTTTCCCGCCTGGTTCCTATGTTGATCCTAAAGAGTTGTCGTTCGGTCTGTTTGTTCGCCTCTTTCAGGTCGCCGTTGCGTCTTGTCAAGGACTCAGGATGAGCTGAGGCGGAGCTCCGAAACCGGCGAGAAAGCTGGAGGCGGCGAGCGTGTGAAGGCGAGCTAGGCGCCGGCTCAGGTCAAATCAAGTCGGGTCGGGGCCGGCCGAAAGAAACGGGGGGCCGAGGCTCGCCGGGCTGGGGATGCGGGCTAGGGCCCGGGTCCAGCGTCCAGGTCGTGCAGCCCGTTTGCACGGCCGGGATTGGAGGGCGGAGATGGAGCCGGTCTTCACGGCCGACACAGACATCGACGAGACATCGCGGAGATCTCGAGCGAGGCCTTCGCACGCCGATCTCGAGCTCTTCGGGATCTTCGAATCCGACTGCGGAGTTTGAACGAGCCACGTGAGGCTCTGCGAGGCTCTGCGTGGCTGCAAGGGATTGCTGGACCGGCGTGCCTTGTCAACGGCGCCGGGGCCAAGCAATGTCCTGGTGCGTTGGTCCTCAAGAAATTGGGCGTTGTGCTAGAATATGGAGCACCATCCAAATAGAAACAAGCTGCATCAAGCCATTTCGGGTGAGTCAGAGTTGGGTGACAGCTGGACTGACAAAATAACGTGACCTTCGATTGATATCCTAGACTCTTTGGGCTTTGTTCAACCAATCGCTATGATTGTCAACAACAAGGCTCTTTAGATGACTGGACAAAGGGCCATTCAGCCGTCGGCCAAAACTGGTATGTGGGCGCGTGTGCAACCAAAAGGGGACTGCAGGCTTTCCCCGTTTCCATTCACCAGGGCAACCCTTGGGCCGGTTCCTTTTTGAGCCATACCCATTTCCTCTTTTTCTAGGTTTCTCTTAAGCACTCTTTGGGTTCAGCGAGTCGCGGCCTTCAGCCTGCCGCAGGGGCCATGGCTGATGCTGAGCCCAAGGAGAGCCCCCGGAATCGGCGAATCGGATCCGGTCCGCGGCTGATCTTCGCGGATTTCCGGCGGCGGAAGTTTCCACGGACTCGATGCTGCCAACGCAGAAATCCGATGCGACCCTGGAAACCACGGATATGAAGGGGATCTTGCCAACAAATTGGAATGTGGGCTTTTAGACATGCTCTCTTTGTGCATGGGATCCATTTCACCACCATTGCTTAGCCCTTGCGCGTGCGTGTAGGCAAGACGTTTGATGAGGGCTGCTTCCATGCTTAGTCCTTCGGCCAACACCCGCAGAAGCCAATGCAGAATAAACCTACTTTCAAGGTCTCCACCAGCCTTGTGAATAAGCTTGCAACTGACTCTCCTCTGTCCAAGGTGGTTGTTTTCAAAGCGCGTGTGGCTTATGGTGAGATCTACTTCCAAGTTAAGTTTTCCTCGGCGGCTGCGGCGGCTGGCCTTTGAAGATGGTCCGCTTCGGCACTCTCTTGCGGGGCCGAGGGCGTCGGGGAGGCACGGCTTAGTGTTTGCACGTCAG